CAGATGAAAGCAACAAGCAGTATAATTATACTGTAACAACAATATGTGCATGGGTACAATTTTCATTCATTGTTACATTATTTAAGTGTGCGCATTTTTGTTTGCTGAAACTGTTGGTTGACAAATAAAAAACTAATCAGCCATTCTGATAATTGAAACATTTAAGGCATTTATCAAAAATGAGTGCCTGGTTCCACCTTCTCAAATGTGAAGATTTGCTGCCTTGTATGCCGTCGCACCTGCGACAGCAGCGGCCGGAGGCATTATGAGCTGTCTGTCTGTCACATTCTGGTGAGCACACTATGTCAGGACTTTGGCACAAACGTCCACTTGGATTCAAGGATGAACTGATTAGATTTTTGGTGGTCAGAAATGTATGAGCTTTAAAGCTGAGATCACTTGATTTACCTCTTTTAAAAAGTGAGTCAAAGGATAATGTCCACATAAAAAAAGTTAAGGCCTGCTGAAGATGACCGGTGTTGACAGGGCAGACGGACCGATAGCAGGGATCAAACTTTGTGTTAACATTCTCCAATGATTTCTGCGAGACAACCTCACTACAGAAAACTGAGCAGGTGGCCAAGCTTTCGCCCCAGCTCCTCCCCATGCTAATCCACACTGTCATCCCTCCCTGAAAACATCCACTTTAAACGATTAGTTATTTATATTCATCAATCTCTTTGTCCCTCTCTTCCCAGCCCCTGCCTGGTCATAGGATATTGATAGCGCTCATCGTGGTCCACTTCCTTTGGTGAAGGGACTGGGCAGCCAGCCGCCGTGGCACCCCTCACACTCTGTCAGAGGGACGAGTAAACACTGTCAGTCAGCCTTGCTGCACCCTCACCTCCCTCTTCCCTGCTGTTAGTTTATCTAGGGAGCAGAGAGTGATGATGGGCCCCTGGTGGGAAGATCACCGAAGGGACTGGAGACGGAAAGGATGTTATGTTATGTGGGAATGCTGACAGAGGATACCTGTGTACCACTTTGTTGTGAACGTCATTCATTCCAGAGAAAGTCGACTTGGCCTGGCCTTTTCCAGCAGTATGCAGCTGGTTAAGTCCCTTGATCAACAGTAGCTGATGAAAGAGTTACACATGTTTACTTTCTCTGCACATACTTTCCCTAGCGAGCCCACTTCTAGCGAAGATTCATGAAATTATGGGGTGTGGCGTGATGGCTCCGTTTGGCCCCTGCCGCTGGGTCGTCTTCGTTCATTGTAGCCTCCCATTGCCTCTCACCTTACAAATTATTACAGCCCAGCTTAAACCATTAGGCCCTGGCTTGAGGCTTGGCTACGGAGATGGAGGGAGGGGGCACAGAACTAGGACAGTGAGGTGCTCAGAGTGCTGATGGATGACGAAAGATGTAGCATGATGAGGAGGTGGGGGAGGGTTTAAGGTGTGTGGCTGAGAAGTGTTTGAATTTTTGCTACTACTATCAACTTTGTTAGTGACTTTGTGTTTGGGAAAGCAAACACAAAGGTTTCCAAACACTGGAAGGATGCCCATACACCTTTTGACAAGGTTTTTGTCACAGGCAGCACAATCTACAATGAATTTTGTTGTTTGATCCTGTACTTTAGATAGAAAAGGTAAAGTGCAGAAAATGAAGCCTCTGATCAAATTATTAGTTACTCTCATCTTTTAATGCTGCCTTAAAACAAAGTCACGCCCAAACTAACTCAATGTTTTTCCTTAAACACCCCGAAGGCCTTTTAAAGGCTCTTAAGACCTTAGTGTTCCACTGAGTGCACGCGTTACTTGCCAAAAGTCTGCTAAGTATTAAAATGTGGTACTGTACCCATTCTCTTCAACTCTCAGTTGGCTGACTGTGTCCAGGTCCACTCCGTGCAGGTGCATCTGCTGTGCAGCACTCAGCAACTTCTGCTGGTCCACCGGGTCTGTGATTCCAATCTGACAAACAAAAAACTGTTACCTTTTCTGTTAATCCAATTCTTTTCCCATTTTGAAAAAACTCAGACCCAATTCAGGGGGCGCAGCCCTCGAAGGCTGCATTTGAAGACCGAGTCATATTGTCGGAATAAGGCCGTCTTATTTCGAAGGCTCCTTAAAATGCGGCGGTGAAGTGTGCCCCTCTTTCACCATGCAACAAAAGGCTCCCTGCATTTCTGTCAGATAACACACCACTTCTCCCAGAATGTTATTGCAATCACAAATTCTTTGGTATTCTCATGACTGTAAATAGGAAAGCCTCTGTAGATCAGGGCGTCTCAGTTCAGTTCAGTCTTCGTGGTCTCCAGTGAGCCACGCCTTCAAAAAAACCATGTCCTTTGAAGGATGCAGACCCTGAATCGAGACACAGGTTTTATGAATATGGCAGAGCTGCTTGTTCCAAGAATCTTTTAAAACAGTACCATACATTTACTGAATTTAAGGTTAATGTTTTAATATAACAGCATCCATTATATCAAAAAATAAAAAAATTGATGCAGAGGTTTACTTTCTTACACATTTGCCTGTAATTCACCATGAAGTATGTAGCTTCATGATCTGGAATGGAATTTAACATAATGATCCAAGGGAAACCGATCCCCTCATGTCCCATTTATTTACATTTATGACAGATTTGAGGTTTATTTAAGTTAAAATAAATATAGTTCCCCAAAATAATGATCACAGAATATGCTGCCAACAGGGTTTATTCATTTTAATCTCACAGCCTTTTTTATACTAAAATGTGTGGTCTTAAAAGTGGTATCAGCAGCTACCCTAGATCTCTTTCAGGGTCACCCTGAAAGCTGACAGTCTACAACAGATCTGATAAGACACAGATGCTACAGTCACCCCCTACCTTCTCGAGATCCTCCTTCTCCATGGTCAATAGGCAGCTCCAGGTGATGTCATTTTCCTGTGATAAGGGAAAGCATGTCAAAACTTCTACATCTTCTCCTGAAGCCTCCACCTGAAACAGATGTACCTGCATGCGGCTTTGCCATATAGTAACAACAATCTACCTGCACCTGTCTGCATATATCAGATAGGGACTAAAGTTTGAGGTGACCCTCGGTTTACTTCAGGCAAAGCCAAACCAGCACATAAGATCTACTATGAAACATCAAGCAAAAATACTTAAACGCGTCGTCTCATGACATGTTCCCAAGCATGTTGATGTCATTCTGTCAGTAATGCAGCTGTGCTCAACACATTCGGGATCATTGTATTTCACCCATGGATCTAACACTGTACTAAACTGTGTGTAAGAACGCATCTCCACTCGCTATCTTGGCATCAGCGAGACAGGACAAAAGAGATTCTTACATTAGGAAAAGGAGCGGTGCATATATAAATACATATGACAGAGAAAAAATACAATGAAACCTTATTCTACCATGCAGTTAATACTTACAGTCATCTTGTCAGTGAGGTAGTCAAGATCGAGGCCATGTAGGAGGAGCTGAAGTTCATCAAGCTTTTTTACACTGAGGAGGGCAGGAGAGTTTAAAATGACACAGTATTAACCAGCTGGAACTAGAATGACCCTAAACTGTATGATCATAGAGGTCCTAAACAGTGCATTTTTACAGCCATGCACTGCAAATCATTCAGCAGCAGCACACAGAAAAGGGAGTTCATACTTTATTTTTAAGACCACACAGTTGTAAAAACCTACTCAAGTTTAGTTCTCCAAATGGAAGATACGGCATTTGGAAAACTGCAAATGAGGCTTATTCCATTTTGAAAATGTCAATTTTTCTTTTGAATTTTGGATATAATAATCCTCCAGACATGAGCGAGAGACAGTGAAAAAGCTTGCAGGCTGTAATTCCTGGTGCCACACATGCTGAAATACAATGTTTTTGCTTGATGATAACTATCCAGCTGTGCTCAAATGGACTAAACATTCAAGCAGGAGGTTTATTGTTGTTTATGTCTGGTTTAACAATGGTTCAGCAACACCTGCTGCACAGGCACCAGTTCACAGAAAACCCAACAGAGGGCGACAAGCATACAGACTGCAGTGAGGCATGAAGTGCAGCTTTGACAAAAGGAGTGTAGATGGGTGTAAACCCAACTGTGTTAATTCAATTTAATCAAAAGATGAATATCCTGTGCGCAAGGTATAAGTAAGCTCATTTGTCCTTCAGGGTGTTTAGCTGGAGCTGGAATAATAAAAAGATAAACTACTGCATAACTCAAATGTACAAATGGTAGAGGGTAATCAGAGACCTGGATATGGTCTTACAATACAATATCCTGCTAGCATGTTTGAGTTTTTTGTCAAAATGTGGATGGAGACTTTGATTTTACTTATGGCGGTAACCAACAGGGGGGGGCTTTTAAGATCTTTTATTAATTATCTACAGTAATACCGTATTTCTATAGCTACTTTTCCTTCTCGTAGCTTCTGCATTGGAAGGCAAAGTAAAAATTTCATTGTACAGGGAAACACGTTTTCTAACATATGGCATATAAAGGCTTTGACCTTTGACCTGATTAGCGGGCTCTCCCACAACAGTATGTTGCCTGCTGTCCCCCTTTCCTACATCTCTTTCTCTCCCTCCTGACCCTCTCTTGCTGCTTCAGCAGCACAGGCAAAGCCTGGAATTATTCAAAACAAATTAATTGCAACACTGGTCAGACTGATTCAGCTGTCCTACATGTGTTTTCTGAGCGAATCAATACACTACAAGCTGATGAAATAGCGAGGGGAAACTGTTCTGTAGTTAATCAATCAGGGGTTGCGTAGTTCTCTTGGACATAAAAGTATAATAATAAAAATGGCAGGGGGGATATATATTATTTAAAATACCTAGGCGGCACACCCAGGTAAAGTCAGTGTGTGGGAAACCTTGACCTTGCAGACACAAAACTGAGATGCTCCAAAAACCTGGACAACCTCATTACTAAGAGAGTAATGTAATACAAATGCACTGTGTTTCAAACCTGTCCACGCTCTGAAGCTGCTGAATTCAAGTCTTACCTTTCCTTGGAAGATGGAGGTTCATCTTTAGTGCTGAAGAACTTAGACAGGATGTTCTTCATGGAGCTGAAGGGCTGCGCAGATGAGATGTGAGATGAAGCGGCCAGGTCGCTGGATATCTGTGGATACACACTTATGTGATTTGGGGAGTTTTCTATTGTTCAAACACTATAGAAAATGACTGACAGTCCATCACAGCACAAGTTCTTATGTCACTAAGGTCACAACAGGCTACAATTCAAGTAATGTAAGACATCCTTTAAATGACCAAACATATTTCTTACTCAAATAATAAATACATATTCTCAAAACATTAGTAAATAAAGTGTAAAGGCTTCTTGTGCATTTCATTTATTTACTATAATAGACACAGAGGCTTATTAAAGCATTTCTGAAGAATATTTAATGACTCTTTCTTGTGGATTACAAAAACGCCATAAAATGTGGTATCTACACGCATAAAAGTATTTCAGGTACCTCTCTGTGTTTAAAGGTGACAGCCAGGTCAGCAGGGCTCTTGCCAGCATTGGTCCTAATATATTTGTCTGCTCCCAGCTGTAGCAGCTTTAGCACTGCCTCCATTCTGCCATACTGCACTGCTATAGCCAAAGCCTGACAGAAAATATTAGCATTAGTTACACTGTACACAAATCCAATTGTTTAAATGAGAAGTATCCAGCAAATTCTACACTGTGCACATGACCTCTGAGCTACAGCGTGACCCAGAAACAGTGACACACCGTGTATCCATTGCTATCCTGGACGTTGATTTCAGCTCCATGGGACACCAGCAGGTCGATGACCTTACTATAGCCATCCCTGGCTGCCAACCCCAGGCAGGTCATCTGGGACCTAAAAGGACAGGCGATGGAAAAAAGGAAACAAAAGTTCAATGACAACAAAAGAGAGTAAGAAGTAGAAGGAAAAAGGTGAGGAATGAAAGCAGACAAGAGGAAACCAGAGAAAAAAACTGGACAAGATAAAATAATAAACCTGAAATGATGACAGTCAGGTTGAGAAGAGATGAAAAATGTAGGAAAGTCGAAGAAATGAGTAGAGAAGTGAATAGGAGTGACAGAGAAACCACCAGGGGGCGAAGGGGTTTTGCGGCAGAGAAACAGAACAAGAGTGGCACCACTGGAATTTGTGCATGTGGTCTCATGCAATACATATTTTAAGGCATTCCCATTCAGGGGTGCAGAAAAAAAAACATGGGAGGATAGAATGAAAATGTATACAAAAACCCTCAGCACCTGATGTACCACCACTGAGACAGAATTGTGGCTGAAATCTAACATGTGGAGAAAGCAGGTGTAAAATTTGCGGCACTGCTCTCAGTGTGGCAGCTGTTATTCATCTGACACCTCATTGCAGTTAACAACATGTTTGAGGAGGGAGAGGATGTTTGTAAATTGCATCACTCACCAAAGGAGATCGAGGGACTTTTACAGGCTTTTAGGTCAAACCATGGTTCAATTACTGAACAAAATAAAAGATTTTCTGACTGGAAGCAAACAGTGTGATTGCAGCAGTGAAATACCTTTGTTGATTTCTTCAACCATATTAAAGTTCAGTCGCAGTAAACACAAATTAACGCTGTGCTCATTTATATCATCAGTGCTGGTAAATACACTGCTGAACTAAATAAATTGTGGCGCAGCAATATTTTCTGTGCCTGACCATAATTTGCGGCAGGTTTAGTAGATATCCACCTTGGTGTCAGATACCAGAGGACGCCTACACAATATTAGACAGGTGATTTTAATGTTGTAGCTGACCACTGTACGAGTCTATGGAGGTGTCTGTAGAACAAATACGCAGCCAAAATATAGTTGCAATTACAAATATAGGTTTTAAAGGTGGCTCTGAAAGGTTTAAAGCTATTTCTTCATCTGTAATGAGCATACACACATAAAAACAACAATGGATTCCAATGGTGACAGAGTCATGGTGGAAAAAGTTGAGTATCAAAACATTTGGAATCTGGCACTACACTGTGCTGACAGGTGTTTCTATTATTTTGTTCATTGCATCAGTGAAGCTAGGCCTAGTAACAGATATGCTGCACAAACTACAGCCTCCAAAATGATCATACCAGTTGAATCAACACCTCTCTTTATAATAATAAAGTCTAGACCTTACTGTGTACAGTGCTCTGAGATGACTTTTGTTGTGATTTGGCACTACACAAATAAAACTGAATTGAACTGAACAATCATGTACATACTGCAAAAGGTCACATACAGGCACATAGGTCAGTTTCCTTCAACAGGCAACTGTGAAATGTAAGACCTTGTCTTAACAACTCAGACCTTTGTTTCTACCTTCATGTTTTCCCCTATGTGAACAAGGGCTGTATATAAATAACCTTCGCTACGCTACTTCTTATCATCCCTGACTCAAACGCAGTGGTTTAGAAAGATTAATTAATCCAAAAGGATGGGAAAGTCCAGGGGCAATTCATCATGTTACTTAGTGCTGTTTGTGTGTAGGTGGGTGACACAGAGAGACAGGGAATCGGAGAGAAAGAAAGGTATTTCAAATGACCAGTCATAATTCTTGTAAACAAACTTCACTCTCAAACTGACAGGACTTTTAGTACTGGGTGGCTACTAAATCCAAGTTATTTCTGTTGAGTAAAAGGTTTGTTTACATCAATATTTCTTGTGAAAATAAAAACTTCCCTTTAAATTGTGGTTTGTTGAGAGAAACAAAATCCTGATTCTTCAAGACTTAAGCAATTCAAATTATGTTAGAATACATCTCAGAAGTCCAAAAATTAACAAGCGAATAGTTCAATACAAGTTGCTAGTCTCTTTTCCTTAAAAAAACAAAGCAGCAGGCAAATTACCATTGTTTTTAATGGTTTTATAATTGCAATTTGGAGATCCAAAAATCCTATGAGCACATGAAGCAGCCCCTTTGTTGATTTTCAGCACTTCCAGCAGCACCCTAACACAACCACAGACATGAAAGAGACTGCTATTTTCATATTTGTTCTTTTTGTGTCGTTTTATTTTTGGTATACTGCACATCATCGTATGGTCGCTTTTTTGCTTTGTCATTCTGAGTTGAGATGCATTGGTGTTATCTGTATTAATATGTTGGCAATGGACGTGTTGGCCTTTGTACAAATAAATTATCTTCAACAGGAAGTGCTCCTTGACAAAGGTTATGTTTATTCAAAAAGTGTGAATCTGTGTAGAACGTCAGAGTGTTTTGATCACTATCTAGGCACTGCGCAATCTTCCGTTAATAAATTAAGAAAGGAGAAATCAAAAGTTAATGTTCTACATGAACTTAAACAATACTATTCACATTCCTCTGCAACCATTAATCAGTCAGTTCCTCTATGACCCAGGAGAATGGGATGGGTAGCCTGCCAATGCTACTGGATTTTCCCAGGAGTGGCTTTGCAGTTATACAGATACCGAGGTCATTCTCATATTGTTTTACTGTGTTTTGTGTGTGTTCCCTTCAGACTGTGAGTTTTGGCTGATTCCCAAACTGACAAGTGATCAATATGCAGACAGTTCAGTGTAAACATTGTTCCTGGTGTCAGGACAGCAAGAAGAATGACTTCAAAAGCACCTGACTCACTGTACCAAGGCAAACACACTACAGCTGTTTCCTCATATGAACTCCGGACAATATCCGAAAAATCAGGTCCAGACATTGCACTTTCACCCCTGTAGCAAACAAATACAAATACTCCATTTGATTTATGCGAGGGATGGCACTTGGGAAAGCGCACAGGAGGCAGTTCATGTAGCTGGTTTATAATTTGGTCACAAACAATCGAGTCTTTCACAGTTCTTTGAATTTGTCTGATGATTTTGGCACCAGCCCTCAACAATAGAAGTTCCCGAATCTCGTGTCTCTACTTTGACGTCTTAGTGTAAACAACCCTTCTTCTTCACCCTCGCTTGTATTCTTCTGATTTCACAGCAGTTGGATGAAGAAATGTCATCCACACCCACTAGCTCAGTGTGTATTTTCTAGACAATAGCCTAATCTAGTCAAACAGGCTCAATCGCTCCTTACACAAACTGGCTATCACAGTATTGTATCGCCCCTAAAGGCCACTGCCAACCTAGTCTAGTAGCACTCTAAGTCTAAGTCCTTGAGTACAACTCAAAGTCATGTCACGAGTGTTCGTTGGCAAACTGAGACAAAAATCAGGTCTTAAAGCAAATGTATGGACATATTTCTTTCAAAGCTTAATGTACACCTCCAAGCTATGTGGCTTGACCTGAGATTTGGAATGATTTGCATTCAAGTCTTCAGGAATTCTAGTCTCAAGTAGGTTAGTTCTAATAGCATCTAAGTCCAGGTCAAATCTCAGGTTTTCATTTTTATGAAGTTATGTTAGATTACATGTCTTAAGTCTACCGCTGTGTGTGTTAGTAGAGGCCCTGAGTCAGTGTTTCCATTACTTTGTTGCAGTCTACAGAAAAAGTGAAGATGCAAAACAGTTTACATTTTACTAGTACAGAGAGAAAAGTAACGACTACCAAATCAGCTTTTATCGGGTATTGATAACATTTTTGACCATGTGATGGAGTATTTAAGCTTAAGATTATGGAAGTAAGATGAAAATTTGCTTCTGACAATGTTTTTGTAGATCTTCAGCAGATATGGGGAAGGCTGCAGAGGCAAAGTATTTAAAAAGGGGAAGAAAAAAAAAACACATGGAGGCAATGGACCCCACATCGTGTTCCTGCAGAACTTTGAGAGACAACTTGTTTACATTAAGACGAGGGATGAGCAGCTGGTGTTAATCACTGGTTTGATATTCAGACGTAAGAGGCGATGAGAAGGAGGAGGACGTTTATTCTCTGCACCCACATGAACATTATTTTCATCTTTTGCTTGCGATGTTGCGGGTCGTCCTCACCCCCTACCCTCATATGCATCCTTCTGCATCTTGTTACCTTGCTTCAAATATTTTGTCTGGAAAGGAACCAATCAATTGCCTAATTCTATAGTGTGTCCATGTGTGTTATCGAGGTGGTTTTCAGGCATTGTGTCGTGCATGCAATGACATACTGGCAGTGACATAGTGGCAGAGGATTAGGGAAAGGTAAACAAAAAAGCCACTGGGGGCTGCATCCTCACTCTGACACGGCAACAATTCACAGATGGTAACAGTAAAACTGCTTCAACCACCATCTCCCTTCATTCCTTTCCACGCGATGGAATTTTTCATGTACTTCACCAGGGCAAGAAACTTGTATTAATTTAGTGAGTGAAATAAATTTCACATTACATAAGAAAGGTTTAGACAATGTCTGGCAGATTGTCAAATTGACTTCAGTATGTTTGAGTGCTTTCCACATATTTCTTAACGGTTTCTGACACTCATCATAGAAAAAAATATGCTCAAGTTTTTACAAATTCACAAATCCACACAAACTCAGAGACGCATGCAGCTTCTTGTGTATTGAAAACTATTTTGTCAGATCACTACTTTGGTATTTCTAACACTAGTCAGCCTGTAGCTGCTGTATTTTCAGAACCCCAGTACCAATGTGCCAATCCAAGGACAGCTGGTCCTGAGAACAGTGACTACCAAGTGGAGGTCACGGTCATATAACGAGAACGGATGGATGCTTCAGTTTACTAAATTGCCCCTAGGAGTGAGCATGAGTGTTTGTCTACATGTCAGCCCTGTGACAGACTGGTGACCTGTCCAGGGCTGACCCTGCCTCTCACCCAGTGTCAGCACCCCACGACCCTATTCTAGAATAAGCAGTGTAGATAATGGAGGGATGGGTGGATGGATGCAATATGTGGCGTGATTTGGGGTAACATATATATCTGGAATGGGTTCTAGCTTTTTCACATTTGTCCCATCAGCGATGGCTGAACAGTGCTGCTGTACAATTAAATCACAGTTTGTTACCAAGACTGAAAATAATATTTTTTGGTTAAAGGGTGTAATGCACCACCTAACAATGCGTTGAAATGTGGTCGCTGAAATGTTGCTGAAACCACTGCTGTATGTAGGCCTACAACTAAAGAAATATTACAGTTTAACACTTTCTTTTACCTAGGTATCTAGCTACTTTGGACATTTGGACCTAGAAATCCCCAAAACCAAGCTTACTGGTTTCCATCCAAGTGTGTACAAAAGCTTCTAAAATTCTCCCGGCCAGCCCTTGCACTCTGCGTGTTTGTTTCTCTGTCCGTCTGATACTCGTCTGTACATGCACATGCCATAACAGGACATTCCAAACAAAACACACAAATATACACACACTGTATTGAGCACTGTGGTGCATAACGCTACCACATGGCAGCTAAACATAACAACAATGATCAAAGGAAATTTGATCCAGCACCTCAGTTTTTTCCTCCCCTGTTAAAGTCAAGTCTGGAGTGTTTTTATTTGGCCCACATCAGTAGGGGTGTGACAGTATGTGTTGTGTTGAAAATCCCATAAACATTTTGACCTGAAACACGTCTGTACCCCCCCTCACCTGTCCACCATGTTGGGATCAGCATTTCTGGACAGCAGAAGCTCCACGCAGCGTGTAATTTTGTCTTCACTAGCAGACGCCGTGCAGCTGGCCATGAGCACCGTCCAGTGATCTATGAGCAAGAATACATTAGTGTGGAAGTGCAGCATCACAGTTTTAAGATTCATTTAGCTAAGCCTAAAAAAATGTAATAAAAAAAACAACGCATAATTTCAAGAGGCTTTGAAGAGTTTTAGTTTCAGAAAATTACCATTAAAAATAAAACACGTTTACACAGGTGACAGGGAAAAATAGAAACATCTGGCATCGAAATCCACCTGTGTGTGGAAGTGTAGGACATTTTTCTTCTGCATGATGCATCCTCAACCTTTTGATGGTGTACTTATATAGGCATGCATCACATCTGTATCACCAGTTCGACCTGGCAGACAATGTGGCCTGAAAGAGGATGGTTTTCATTTGAATGTAGTCTGTACAATTACAAACAAGAGAACTGATCACTTTGAGTGCTGTAAGCTTTGGTTTTATGGTGGACAAGCAAAAGACATGTAGCGGCAGTTCTGATTGCTTCTGTTATCCAATAAAGGGAGTACTTTCGCAAGTCACATCAAAATACAACAGCAATGTGAAAGCCATTTGGAAGAGCTTGACGTCATAAAGGCTGATGGCAGTAGCCACTCCTTTCTGGAATGTTTGCATTCAGTCTTAGTAAACACTGCATTGGAACAACTATGTATGAGATCCCACTGATTGGGAAATAGTAATAACATTATTTAGCAAAACAAATAAAAGGAAAGAGAAGTTCAATTTTCTCATCATAAGGAAGTTATACATCACACTGTAGTAAGTAAGAGACCTACTGTAGATGAAAACCAGGTGTCAGGTCCGCTCGGCGCGCCCTGCCTCTCTTTCTTTTTTTCTCTCCTGCGCTCCCTTTTTGCGGGATCAACGCCTCAGCTGTGTCGCATCAGGTAATTAGTGACTCGTGGGTCGGTGCGCACACCTGAGGCGTATTCCGGTGATTTGTTGGCTTCCTTATTTATACCTCTGGCAGACGCCCTGTCGCCGCCGGAGCATTGCGACGTGTAACGTACCATACGCAAAGTAAGTTTACAAAGGTTGTGTTTGACCCGCATTATTATTATTATTATTATTATTATTATTATATTTATTTATTAAAAGACGTGTGTAAGATGCTACGCTGACAGTCTCTGTGGGTTTTGGCTTGACCTTATCACGCTAATTATGCGGTTAGCAATACTTAAATACGTGCTTTGTCTTCCACGCTGACAGTCTCTGTGCTGTGGATTGCATTGTTTAAAAAACTTCCGATCTTTTTGTCAGGTCCGCTCGGCGCTACCTGCCTCTTTCTTTTTTTCCTCTCCTGCTCTCCCTTTTTGCGGGATCAACGCCTCAGCTGTGCGCATTGGGTAATTAGTGCCTCGTGGGTCGGTGCGAACACCTGAGGCGTATTCCGGTGATTTGTTGGCTTCCTTATTTATACCTCTGGCAGAGCCCGTCGTCGCTGGAGCATTGCGACATGTAATGGACAATACTTACCCTATGTAAGTTACAAATGTTGTGTTTAACCCGCTTATTTTTAGACGTGTGTAAGATGCTACGCTGACAGTCTGTGCGTTTTGGCTTGACCTTATCACGCTAATTATGCGGTTAGCAATACAGAAAAGAATTTACGTGCTTTGTCTTCCACGCTGACAGTCCCTGTGCTGTGGATTGCCTTGTTTACGTTGGTTCTTTTTGTTCACCTGTCTGTTCTCATCCCCTGCTATCCTAGTTCCTGTTGTTAGTTTGTGTGTTTACCATCCTGGTCTCCTTAGTCATCACTGCCCTTCCCTTGTTGTATGTATTATGGACCCTGTTTTGTTGTCATGTTGTTTTAATTCCATTAAACCACCTTTTTTGTACTAGCACCTGGGTCAGCCATCTTGAGTCCAACCCCAGTTCTCCCTCAGTTCTAAACCATAACACCAGGGGAGTGACTTATTTGTTATCAGGAAATGTGGCAGCCTTTAGAAGACCAAGAGACTTCAGAGCAGTTGTCTCCTTATCTTATCTTAAGACTAGTCTGAGACCCATGGCAAGGCATTCAATTCCTGCTTTGTTCCACCAACCCAACCTGTGTGTTTCATAGTATGTATCTAAGTGTGTGTGTGTGTGTGTGTGTGTGTGTGTGTGTGTGTGCACCTTCTCCTCTACATCTGTATGCGAGTTCCTGTGTCTTTGTGGCTGGGCATGTTTGGCTCTATATCTGTGTTCAAGTGTGTGAGTGTTTATATTATGTGTGTGTGGGTGTAAGCCAGACTGACTGGTTTGCGTCTACAGAAGACTGGAGTAAATAAATCTGAGGCCTGAGAATTGGTTAGAGGGTATGACAGCGGCATGGTGACCGTTATCAATCACTTGTGCATTCCTCCGCTCGGCCTGGCTGCTTGGACAAACGCCACCAGGACGTGACCACACGTCATCCTCCTGTTTAATTGATTCCTTCACCTGCCTCAAGCATCAGATGCCGAGGCCATGTGAAATCAGTCACACACACAGTTTAACTAGACATTCTGGGCTGAGAATTAATTGACATCAGATATGAGAATGACTAGTGCTGTGGTTCCAAACTGGAGTCTGGGGACTTCCAAGGGCCACAGGAGGGTTTTGAGTTGATACCCAAGAAAAATAAAAATACAGGGGTCAATAACTTATTAATTAATGCAGCAGCATTAATTAATAAGAAACATTCATTACAATTTGATTCATTAAAACATTTTAAAATGCACCTGCATTGATTTGCACAGTGACTTTCAGTCAAATAAAGACTATTCTTCCAGTCATATATTTTGTCACTGAAGATTTCTTAAAAATGGGGTTAAAATATCATGTCCTCTCGTTCTCGTGAGCCCAGTAACGTGTATCGTCTGGTCTCATGAGCTAAGTGTATCATCAAACCCCGGCACCAAATAGCCTAATTTATACTTTTAATATTTTAAGTAAATTTTAGTAGTAATAGTTAGTTTTACTTAACATTTTCAATGCAATGTAACAAGGTAGGCTACTTTTACAGTGTAGTATTAGTACTTGTGGTACAGTGTGGTAGTAATAGTATGGGAATACTTTCTCTACTACTGGTGCCAACATCCAAACTAACATGGTTTAGTTATATAATGTTATAGTTACATGGTTTTTGTAAAAATCATGTTTGTAACTCTGTTTATTCTTTAGGGTCAATCTAGCACTGCAATCCAGGTCAATCAAGTGCTACAGTCACTAGCAGTCATTCCTTTGAGGGTTGGTGTTGCCTATAATAACAGTAACTGTAATATCATATACTATAATACCACAAAACTGTGATATTTTCTGAAATGTTATACCATAAAAATCTAATATCATTGCAACCCTATATCAAATATCAAACACAGTTATGATTATGATAAATATTGTATCGTAGACCTTTCATTGTTGCACTATTGTACCATGAGCTTTTGGCATCGTTACATCCCTAATGATGACTGGTTCCTGTCTGACTAGAGGGGGAGTTGCCATTCAACCATCATATCCTCCTCTACAGATCAGACATGGTGCAACGCTGGACTAACTCTTACCTAGCAACAAAACGTTTCATGTTTGTGGGGGATCCTGTAACTGCATTCTTACAAAAGGATTCATGGTTTCGTGTGTATAGAACTACAGACGTCTTAACGTGGAAAAGATGCTTATTTTACCCAGATGCCTTCAATTCTTCTCACTTATGATGGGGGTGCATTGTGCATGAACTAAAAACAACTACAAGGACTGGTGGCGTGTTCCTGTAACAGTTCCTCTTTGGCGTCATCACCATTAAGTAATGTCAGATGAAGCCTATTGGTACAGAGGCCTGACTGGTCCCCGTCTTTGGCTGTATCAAATTAGGAAATTGAAACACGGTGCTACAGGGAAGGACAACTCAACACCAGCGCGACAGGGACCATCAGGAGGTTTAGTTATGGCTGTCTGATATCCAAGCCTAGAAGACAACAAAGTAATGTTGTTGCCTACTCAAGACTACACGGTTTTCCTCTGAAAGGTGGATTACAGAGAGGTCAGTGGAGCCCACAACTGTGTGTCATGAAGGCAAAGGCTGATACAAAATAGAATGCCTTTGTCAGCCAAATTTATGTTTTTGTAACACCACCCTCCCAAACACAGTGATCTACAGTGGTCTGACCTTTGCTGAAGTTGGCGCTGGCCCCTCTGTCCAGCAGCAGTTTGGCCAGGTCATAATTAGCCACATTAACGGCACACATCAGAGGAGTCCACTCAAAGCCAAGCCTGGTCTCCACGTCCATACCTGTCCACACAAAAAGGACCAAATTAAGTGAGGCCTAGTGCCCTCAAGTATATATATACACACACACACACCTCTGTACATAATGGCGTGAGAAATGAGCTACCCACTGTGACTAGTAAACCTTTCCCTCCCTCCTTTCATTCATTCACTTTGACTGCTTCTAACAAGTTGACCTGATTATGGCAACAACTATAAAAATAAAAAAATACAGTATATATGCATCTTTGCATGTACTGTCACAGTAAAACAAAAATGCAGTGCAAATAATAATAGATGAATTTGTGTATTACTGTATTTGTGATATTCATTTATTATTCAAGACTAAAATGTGAAGTTGTGTTACCACTGTCCAGCAGCTGTTCAACAGTCCCAATGTCTCCTTGACTGATGGCTCTTTTCAGCACTGACACATTATCTCCTGCATGTAGTGCAACATCCAGATCCTGGGGAAAAGAGACAAATCTGAATAAGATCCACCATTTGAAATGTGCTACCTGTTTAAGTACAATCCCTTAAATTCAGAGAGCAAAATTCCCATGTGATGGGTATATGAGAATTTGGAGTTCAAGGTCATCCCTGCCATTTGTAGTAATACTTTTTTTCTCTACATAACATACAGTATGAATGCAAAGAAGAAAGACTAATTTTGAGCATGTGTTTATTTGTCTTACCCGTAATGTGTCCAAATTCAATACTTCACTCCAATACTACATAGTATGCACTATGTTCTAATCTTCATTCTGTTGGTGTTGTAAATATACTTTTAAAATGTATAAATGTTTATTTATAGATACGAGTATGTAGGGGGGAAAAATCACAAGCATGGCAATAAACCAGAAACAATGGGGCAGTAGCTAACATTAGCTGAATAAGGAAAGTTATTCAGTCTCAAGTAATTAATTTAGCACTTGGTAGCGCTATTTGGACCATTTAAGACACATTTATTGACATAGCTGTGTTAACACATTTAAATTTGTGTTGTACTTAGAGTGACAATGCGCATTTTCGCTTCTTTGGCTTGAACACCGCCAATGCTTAAAAAAGCGGCAGTGGCCCAAAATTTAACATGTTCTCACCTTTCCCACATCAAACTAACACTAAGACATGTAGGTTAAACAAAATTGGACTATCTACTTAATCATAACTTTGTGTCCGTCTGTGCGTTTAGCTTGTTACTATCTTTACACAAAATAAATAATAAAGCACAGAGTTGACTACCCTAAAATTAAATGAAGCTAGTTAACATTAGCTTAGCATTATGTTTGCTAGGGGGTCACACTAATTTAGTTGCCGCCGGCTAACATTGCCATCTCATGTTACTAACATTTTGAGAAAAGATTAAGGACCTTATCTGAGGTAACAGTGATGCAAGAAGATTTCTTATCTGGATAAGTCCCAATATACCACTCATCGTTACTGCCGTCGCTCTCGTATCCACCGGGGAAACCGGAATACATTGCGCTACTAATTCTTCTGACCGGTAGCTAATGATTGCTAACACTACAGAACAACAAGCCTTAAAACCCTCACCGCCGAGAGGGGGCGCTATAGTAAACACAGTGTTCAACATGGGGACGCATCTTGAAGGGTGACGTATATCGATACCACACCGCCACGGACCAACAGGTGTTTCAGGATGCACGTCACTGCTGCTCCGGTGTGTTTATTGATTAGCCACGCTAAATTATTTGACTTATTTAGCCATCAAAAATAAAAAAAGAACACTGTGGATGGGTTTAGTTTAATTGCCCCCACACCATGGCGGCAAGTTACATTTTTACCTTGCTGTGGTATCAAAAAGTCCAGTAAAGTAAGCTGCTTGTTCCAGTAGTATGTAGTTAGAAAAAGTATCTGGTCTGACTGAGTCAACTGTCTCGATCATGGTCTGTCACATTTATCTTTATCTGTATATGTATAGACTGTATATGTCGGGCTCTGGAATACAATCTCATCTGGCTGCATAGAACAGCAAGTGTCCAGCAGAGGTCACTCTTCCTCTGTCTGAACCTTCAGCAAACCTGCAAGCAACCAGCAGCCTGATTTAACGTGATTCTCCTCATCGCTCAACTCTTTTACAGAGCTCAGATTCTGCTTTATTTCTGTCTCTCACAGTGGGGTGGTTAAATACAAAATATTAATGCAAGTCTGCACAGGGTGATCTGCTGTAGAAGTGTCATCCATCCATGGTCTGCGGTACTTTTGTATTTGTTGATCTGTGTACAGAGCAGTGACTTGAACCCATGATTTTTTTTTTGTAGCTCCTTCACACATAATGACATGCATGATTTTATTATGCTGCTTTGAACATTTTTCCCTGCAAATTGCTCACTCTTGGAAATCGTTACGTTTGAAGTGCTGACAGTGAAGATAAGGCACAATTGTGTGTTAAGATTAAAGTGAATCAAAGGTTTACTGCATTTTCACATTTTATCACTGTTCCCTGATGGAATGTCTGGAGGTTCTGAGCCTCCCTCTCCTGAAACTGAGCCTAATCTGAAACCGATAAAAACTTTAAGAAAGTTTCTAGTTCCTGTGGATGTCCCAGAACTGTTTCTGCTATTTTGAATGATAGGGAGGCAGCTGTGTGGAATGAAATAAAAAGCCACAGCTCAATGCTCAGTAGTTCAGTCCACCTGTAGCAGCTCATTGAGTATCTAGAAAACCTTTAAGCGCTGTTAGTTATATCTGCCCATTTTGAGGAACATGGCTAATGAAACATTGTTTTACACAGTTTTTGCTTGTATTGTTTATACATGTTAACATTTGTGTGAGTTTTGTTTTAACCGTCATGTACCAGTTTGTGTTTGTTTACAAATAGGACTCTTAATGTTTCTGTAAACTTGTACTAGTTTGGTACCAATTTGGAAAATGTTGCACAAATTTGTTATTTGATAATTGTACCCTGTATGTGAGGGACTTATTGTGTGATGAAATCAGTTCTGCATAACCTTGCACAATTTGTGTGTTTTACATACAGTATGAACTTTCTGCAACTGAAGCAAAATCATCAGAGTAAACAGTGATTCCTCTGAGTGTAAAAATCATATTGACCTGTGGACTCTCATGGTTCCCTGAGTCCTCTGGTACTGGACCCGTCTCTGTTTGCCAAGGTCGTCTCATTGGGATCAAACTGCTTTTGTCTCTTCACCCTGTTGCCACAACATGCAGCCTCGTCAGTGTGGAAATGACGTGTCTCCCCAGCTTTTTGTGAGCCCATAAAGGATGGACTGTCTTCTTTGTAACAGGGAGGGAGAGAGAGAGGGTCCAAAGAAGACCAGGGAGCCGTACGGAGAATAGAAATTCAGTCTTGATTTCTGGGAGAAAGATAACATTGACCTCATATTTACCGGAGGCGCGGATAAAACTGTGTAGGAACGGAGCCACTCGAGGGACACACAAATGTGAACGACGCGCACGGAAGCTACTCAGGTGCAGAGAAACCAAACTGGCGGCGCACTTAGGATGCAGAAGTCACCAGTGGAAGATGCCAATTGTTTCTCCAAATTTTTCTTCTGGTAAGAGGTTTGCTTAGGTTGTCTTTGGATGACGACTTGATGATACTCTTATCATTCCATTACTTTATCCATATCATTATGAAGAGCAGAAATTGCTATAAATTATTAAACTGGAGTCTATGGCTTTTTAAAAACCGCGTAGAGCCTTGTTAGTATTTGGTGACGCGTATGCGAAAAATCTAATTGGGATCAATTAATATAGTCGGTAATTAGAAGTGTTCCACTTGGCTATTTACTCAGTCTGAGCTTGTTTGGAGATTGGATTGCGATAAATATCACAACTTTGAATAACTGTGAAGCTTTGGAGTCCAGGTCCGACAGAGCGTTGGTTGTTTCAAAGTAACATGAAACCATAAATGTTATTGTTCTGAATGATGGGCTTTAGAAATGCTGTCCCACTGCCCAGTGTTGCTTCCAGAGGAAATGACAGTAATATTCCAAGTGCTGCATGATCGAGGTTGTTCTGCCGCACATCTTTAGGAGTTCTTGTTGCATCATTACGTTTTTGTCACTTAGGTCATGCGTTGGCCTGTGACCTGACAGTTTAAACTGTGCGCAAAATTGATTTTTGCACCGAAGATACTGTATGTTCCAGAGACCTATGTCAGGTGGGGGTGCGCTGATGAGGCTTTGCAGGCACTCTGTATCGCTGGTAACATTATTGTTATTCAGTGACTGGCCTGCATATTTTTAAATGATATTTGAACCTTATTCCTAACATGAGTTCTGTTTTAGTGCACATGTTCTTTCTCCTCACACTTTTTCCTGGTCCAAAGAAAGAAGCAGTCATTAGAAGTCAGGTGATGTAAACTGTGTGTCACCTGGCTGGGACAGGGCCCAGCAGACGCCCAGCTTTCTCTTCTCTGTCATTAGTCTGACTGTGAAACCTCCAGGATTACTGATGTTGCAGCTAACACCAGTTTACATTAAATGTTTCACACGCAATAATCCTGGGTTGGGCTGCCAGATATCTCAGCCTAATTGGCACAAATCTTCCATGTGGATGTTGACATAGTGTGATATGTAAAATGGTTTCTTGTAGCAGTGGTTATTAGGGTACTACTTTTCCACAGTTTCAGTCTCCTTCAAAACACATACAGAAGATGCTGACACCTTTTAGCCCATTTGTGTGTTGGACTATATCTGTTAGCATATGCTCAGCTGCATGTGTTCAAGGTGTGAATGGTTGTGGTCGGCCCTGTGGTAGACGGGTGACCTGTCTGTGGGTGGCCTTTCATCCAGTGTCCTCTGGGATCGGGTCCAGCGATGTAGATGATGGATGGATCCAGACCTTTAAGATGATACCAACAGTCTGTGTAATCTGTGGTTTTCATGCAGGTGGACGACACCACTGCTGAGGAAGGGCTTCACAAAGAACTTGGAGCTTACAGATGTGTACAAGGCTCCTTCTTTTGATCTGGCAGACACCCTGTCTGAGAGACTTGAAAGGTTTGTGTAGTGTGTACACCTGACTCATGGTTTATGTTTATATCCCCACACACTGATTGGAAATTGTCCAGCCACATAAAAAGATGGATTATTTGAGGACGGATCAGCTCAGTCTTCTCTGATTGATTATGGCCACCAGAGCTGTAAGAATCATTTTCATGGTTTCTTATGGGTTTCAATGTGATATTGTGTTATTAGTTTTCTCTTGCTGAAGCCTAGAACAGTGTGTAATGATGACAGTTCATCAAAACCGCCTTCAGTATTTTTAGGTAGGCTCATTAAGGTAATATGTTATTTAAAATAAATCCATTCTGGGGTCACTGATAAGGTTGATAAACTGAATAAAGGTAGTTTTTTTTTTTTTCATCGATTCCAAACTAGTCCTTGTGCTGGTGGTTTCTGCATTCTATGTCAGATTTTGATACGAGTTCCTCAGAATACCAAATGCAAACGGCTGCTGTTGAATAATCACATGCAAGGACAGAAATGGAAGTCGTCTATACCTATTCTGGCTGCACAGATGACTCACTAAGTGGGAGAGAGGCACTCTGGGAAATCCATGAAATTTACATTTGACCAAAGATTCCCTAAAACCTCAGGCATACTACTTTTCATTGTATCAGCTACTGCACAGTCATCCACCTTAAGACCTACAGGTGTACAGTACACACTGTGTCCCTGATACCTTATGTGTATGACCAGCTTACAGGAACAAACTCTTCAGTCAAAACAATTAAATAGCAAAACACTAACCTCACAGCCTGCAGCCTTGATGTTTCCCATACTGTATGTGCCCTTTACATGACTTAACATGTGTTTACAGTAGCGGACCATTGTTCATCCTTCTCTGAGTCAAGGTAAAATATTGCCTGACATTTAAATAGGTTTCAGCAGAATCTAAGCCTGTGTGCCAAACAAAAAAACCTGGCAACAGATGATGGGCAAGGCTAACACGTCTTTCTACTTTAAATCTGCCACTTTTGGTTTGTCTTTCTCTCATTTCTTTTTTTCTCTCACTGCAACATCTTTGCTTTTATCTCCACCTCTTTGTCTCTGACTCAGACACCTGGGTTTTTCTATGTCTGTCACTGTTTCATTAATCTAACTTTCTCTCTCCTTGGTGTGACTGCTTCTTTGTCTTCACTTGTAATTTATTATACTGTAGTTTAAATCTGATATGCTGGCATGACAGGCATAAGTTCAGAGTTGGTGTTAGGGGGATTTCAGTTGTTTGTATTTGTACTTATTTTTCCTTTCAGTCCTTTCCTGTGATTCTTTCTGACATTCATGTGTTTGTCTCCTTAAACCCCTGCTCTGTCAGGCTTCTTCTAGCTGCCATTTCTCTTTTTCCCTTTGTCTCATTTCATTTGCACCTCTTGGTTGTCTTTTGTCTTTGTGACCTGAATCTCTTTCTCCACTTTCTTAGGTTGTTTTTCACCTTTATTTTTTGTCTTTACTCCCATTTAATTATGTTGGTCACCACATATTTTTTGCCGTGATTATTCAAAATTTACATCGTTGAAAGTTTTGTTTGTGAAATCTTTGTTCTCATCTGTCGTTTTCACTCTGTTTCCCTCCCCTTTGTTTCCTCTCCTTTTAGAACACGAAACAAATTCTACATCTAACAATTTTTTTTTCTTAAAGATAAGTAACATGTTATCCTGAAGAATAAGTCCTCATGTCTTTTCTTTCTTTTTCCTTTTTTACCTTACATAACAACCACCTTGGTTTTGCCTCTTGGTCACCCAGGGGCCTGCACCGCACTCAGTGGTGCCAACAAGCCAGTTAATGTACATGGGTGTTAAAACGGTGACCTTTACAAAGGGCCTGGTGCCCACTGGGTGGTGAATGAGCAGTGGTGGGTGATTCTGCTTTCATTATGCTGATCAGGCAAACAGTGAGGGCTTCTGGGAATGTGAACTTTGCCTTCTATTATAGCACGCTGTGTACCATCAGCCTCTTCATCACCTGCTTAGTTCAGTTCAAGTCAAAGAACTTGGCTGGCTTGGTAGGGATTTCATATTTACCATACACTTGAACCTAAAAAAGAAAAACGAATATCTGCCAATTTGTAATTACCTCTTACTAGTTATAGTTCTGGGAGGCTTGAGGCTATGCTTATATGTTGGATTCAGACCCAGAGGTACCTTGTTGAGAGCTGACAATTTTTACCATGAGGTTACCAACACTACATGGATACCAGTATCATTTGTTGATTTGGGGGAGATTTGTTTCACCTCTGTTTACAGATGCACAGATCCTACGTTTACTCTGCCAGTATCTCAGATTCCAGTACCTCAGAGTATCTGCCAAGACCTGAGTGCAGCTCCAGTGCAATTTGTCACATATGCACTATAATTATAGTACAGTAAGTGTGGTGTGTAATTAAATGCTACACTGGTTTGCAGTTGTGCAGTAGAAATTATTTTTAAAATGTGGTTACAAGTACAGTGTACATCAAAACTTGTGCAATGTCACCAAGATGTTTAAGGATTCCAAATTGTACCATCATACTATAATTGTACTACTTTTAGGTTGTAGGGTATTTAATCATATGTATTATTAAAAACAAACAGGGTGGACTGCTAGGAAACTCCTGGCCCCCAGAGTAAGTCCTCACTGCAACAAAAAGTGAATGCACCTGTGTTTTTCATTCAAGAATAATTGACACCACCGCTTTCTTAATTTTGGCCTGGGTTGTGTCTAATGCAAAGTGGCTCCACATGGTTAGGAACTGCCTAAACAAATCCAGTAAGACACCAGATTGTGAGACTTCATTAACATGAGAGAGGAGTTTGAGAGCATCAGTGGATTATTGAATGGAAGAATGTCTTCAGAGTGGAAAAAACTAAATGCACTGCAGCTTCTAGACTTTTAAAAAGCGGACATCTGGTCTGTTGCTAAAATAGTAGAAGACAACTAAAGCAGCCAGAGCCAAACATTGCTGGCATGTGGCTGGTGGATACACGCCTTCACTGCTTTGTAACTGTGTTGTAACTCTGTGCCCCCTGCAGAGAATGGGACAGGGAGGTGGCGTCAGCCAAAAACAAGCCCAAGCTGATGAGAGCCCTGGCCCGCTGCTTCTTCGGTCCTTTTGCCTTCTTTGGTGTCCTCCTCTACCTCGGGGTGAGTCTGGATGAGGCAGGGTTTGCCATACTATTGGGTGTTGCAGACATAAAGTCTTGATTCTTATGTCCTGTTCACTGATGTAAGGTTTGTTTGTTTTGTACAGTAGGTAAAATAAAGCTCTTATACTTGTATAGCGCTTTTCTATGCACAGCACACTCAAATCACACTCACATGAAACTTGGGAGTACCAAGTGGCAAACAAACTTTGGTACAATATTTGAAATAATAAATAACTTGCACTGCAAAATAACTGGACAAATCCATGTATCCCTTCACAAGTAACGGACTAGGTGCTGACTCTTACCTGCTCCAGGGTAACCAGACAAAAAATGTAAAGCCTAATGTAAAAGTAGAGTAAGTCATTTAATCTCTTTTCTGTCTCATTGTCCCATGTCTTGGTGTAGGAGGCTTCCAAGTCGGTGCAGCCACAGCTTCTGGGTCGAATCATTGCCTCCTTCGACACGACCGCCACTCTTGAGCAGAGCCAGAGCTACTTCCTGGCGCTGGGCCTTACTCTCCTCTTCACTGCTCGCTTCCTCCTGCTGCAGCCTGCCATCTTTGGCTTGCATCACCTGGGCATGCAGATCCGCATTGCCCTCTTCAGTCTTATATATAAGAAGGTAAGGGCAGGACAGCCTGTGTGTATACACTTCTGTGGAATTAACTTTTGTATTTGCTACTTATTTGTATTAAATCCCGCTGGATGTATCAGATGGCAGCTGGGGGTTATTTTAATCAAGTGATGGATCCCAAACTGGATTTTGTTATTTTGAAACTTGCAGATTAGCTTTGGGTTTACATACTTCTCTACAGGTTGACAGAATTCTCCAGCTAATGCTTTGAATGAGGTATTATGGCATCATGTAGAAATGTGTTTTTCAATCATGAAATGTTGGCAGTTTGGTGATGACAGGATCTTTCAAACCATGAAATGTGATTATCCCAGCTTTTTATGATGATTTTAAATGTCAACATAACAAGTAACTTCAGGTCGAAATGTTGTGCAGTAGAAGCGTAACATCTCTTTAAAACTTGTAACCAGTGGCACTGGGGGCTTCTTTCCTGATGGAACATGAATCAAACAGTTGCTACTTAAACAGCTGCTGTAACAACTAGTTGTAGGTAGAACAGAGGACAGCCCAGTTGTTATTTGTGAGTATCTGTCAGCTGGCAAACTGTTTACTCTTGCTACTGTTTATAAGATCCAGAGACAAGAGACATGGTCGATCAGTTAAATACCTCCACCGTAGCTAAAATGCATGACTGAACATTCCCACAAAGCTTCCCACACTGGCTGCCTGGTGTCGAGGCTTGCCCAAGTGTCACTGGCTTCCTCTCATCCACGTCATTTTCTCCTTTTGTGCTTCAACTGACCCCTGACCTTTGACCTTTTCAGACCCTGAAGTTGTCCAGCCGAGTCTTGGATAAGATCAGCACCGGTCAGCTGGTCAGTCTGATGTCCGCCCACCTCAACAAGCTGGATGAGGTGAGAAGACCCAAACCTTTTGTTAACTTGCATATACAGTGTCTTTTCACACCCATTCACTTTGTGCATGCCTTATTGTGTTCTAGATTTAAATTGATAAAATTACCATTTACCCCATCAATCTACACCTAATGATCCATAATGACAAAGTGAAAAATGTTTTACAGTATATTCCAAATCAAAATCTTTCTTTTATTTCCAAAAGTCTTGCTGTGGCACCTCTGATCAGTTGCATCTAGTTTGCTTTAACCTGAAATAGTTAAGGTTTATTTTTTGTCTATTTAAAATGGTATCTTTAACACAAAGTGCAAAAAGTGAGGTGCTCCAAATACTTTCTGAAGCCATTATATATTGGAGCAGGTATTTATTTCTGCTATACCCTCCCCTGAAGTAATTTCTGCCAGTTTCCAAATCCAAATGTAAGGTGCCCTGCCACACACGCTGAGCTACAAGAAACACTGGTCTTATATTTATTGAAATATCTTACAGTATATTGGAATGAAGCTTTATTTAAAACCAGTGGACTCTAACACATGATGAAGTGAAGCTGAATTGTAACTAAAGTGGAGAAATCTGTGACAAAGAAATGGTATAAAGGTTAATTCAGTGAGATTTCAGGACACCAGCGTACATAATAGACACTTTGGTACAACTGGATGTGCAGAGCTTTTGAATTTGACTTTTTTATGCGAATGACATCTCAATGTTTGGCTGCAAAAAGAAACATTACAGTGGTTTTTCTGGCAGAGAGATGAGGGACAAGTGTATGTGTAATCTGAACTGAGTCTTGCCCTTAAGTCTCATTGAGGCGTTGAATGTGGAAACGCACTGCCACCTGCTTTGAGACAATTATCACCTGGCTTGGAGGTGGCCTGTCTAATGTACCACTCTCTTCTTATAATTGTGTGGGTTACCTAATCTGGTGTTTGTGTGGGTTTGAAAGGACCAAGGCTGCAGGTGATAGGGTGAGAACTAAACTGTTTCTCACCTTCATTACAGTACAGCTTTCTTTGTGCCTTTTTCACATACTTGCATTTCTTTTGTGCTTGCATATTTTCATCCTACAATTTGAGTAAGTCTTTGTTGTCACCCATTCAGTGTGTTACTTGAATGTTAAAACGAGCTTCATTTATGACATCACAACTCCGGAATGCCTTGAGGTCAACACTGCATTCTGACCTCACTGAGGTAAACTGAGGTGCAGTCTAATGTGTGGACTCAGTGTGCCATAATGGTTCAGGTGGCTTTCCTTTAACCATGGGACCAGGTTCAAAGCTCATCGTAGTCACAGAAAATGTACCATATGCACTGAACATTGCATACACTCTGCTTTAGTCAGCATGGATTCACAGCAGGAGCACAAGAGTGTTTACTTATTGGAAAGTGTCTCACTATTCCTCCAGTAATAAAAGTTACTATGTTATCTCTGTGTACCTTGGCTGTATTTCAGAGCCTTGGTCTGGCCCACTTTGTATGGATCACCCCTCTTCAGTGTATACTGTGTGTGGGTCTGATCTGGGAGCTGATTGATGTGAACAGCCTCTGTGCCTTGGCAGCTCTCACCCTGCTGGGCATCATACAGGCCTGGCTCTCACAGCAGATGAGACCCCACCGGTAGGGAAGCACACCCACACTTTCACTCACATTATGTAGCATATATCCTACAACCAGGAAGGATTGCTTTAAAATTGTATTCTGTTAAAATTACAAATTACCTGTTAAAATGTATTCAGTAACTTATTCCAAATATCACAATATTAAAATTGTAATCCTCATTTTTACTAAATGTATCAGTAATCCAGTCTTTTTATCTGTAACTTCAACCACATACAGTTAGCTTTTTTCGGGGGTATCCTAATTATGTAACGCCCTTCCATGCATCTGTTACTCCCCAAACCTGGCTACAACCAAATATAAACCTGTAATTGTTCTGTGTTCTGTCTTGCAGTTTGTGTATTTTGTCTATTTTGTGAAGATTAAAAACATTTAGTACATATACTGCATTAATCTCTGTTCACTTGTCTAAGTTGTTATATAATTACATTTTAATTTCATTTTTTATGAAAATATTGTTCATATAAATACAGTAAGCAAATATGCCACCAACAGGGTGAAGCGAGCAGGGATGATCAGCCGCCGCCTGGCTCTCACCTCAGAGATTGTGGAGAACATTCACTCTGTGAAGGCGTACGGGTGGGAGGAAGTGATGGAGACCATCATCAAGAACATCAGGCAGTAAGATGAAACATTTCCCTGTTTTCTATTCTGTTAATACCGATGTTTAGCCATGGCTATCCTTCTTTCAGCAAAGATAAACACATCCCTAATATTGTAAATCTCACACCTTTCCAGTATATTTTATATGCTACATTTGCAAGGTATCATAGATGGTAATAAATGGAATTGATCAGGATAAAGAAACATTATGTATATGTTTTTGCCTAATGTTAATTTTTAAAAAAAGCTGTTCTCCTCTCTCTCCCCACCTTAGGGATGAGATGACACTGACAAGAAAGATTGGTTCTCTGCGTTACTTCTACAGCGCCTCATACTTCTTCTCTGCCATCTTGGCTATTGTGTCAGCTATTGTACCTCGTGCACTCACTACAGGCATCGCCCTTCGTCCTATCTTCACCACAGCCTCCTACTGTATGGTGCTGCGAATGACACTGACCCGCCAGCTGCCGGGATCCATCCAGATGTGGTACGATACACTGGCACTGGTCAAGAAGATTGAGGTGGGTGCACTCCTAGGGCATCATTCAGCGTATCAATTACTTGTACACTACAGTATGTTTGTCATCAGCAGATCAGATCTAAAAATGCTGTAGCAGAACAAATGAGCATATAGTACACGTTATATGTAACAGTCCTGCTGATGTACCTGTCTGTTTTGTCTTCCCCAGGAATTCTTGATGAAAGAAGAATACAGGAAGCTGGAGAACAACCTGACCACAAATGAAGTGGAACTAGTCAATGTGTCTGCATCATGGGATGAGGTTTGTTTATGTTTGTATATCAAAATTGAATTTGGTAGTTTATGAAATGTGTGTAATTTAGCATGTCTGCAATGTATAGTTAATGATGTGTAGTCAAACTGGAGCACTGTGACACGAGGGATGCTGATTTTATGCAGTGTCCTTAATCAAATATCAGTTACATTAATGATCAGTAATTGGATATTTAATACGTGCTTTAAAAGAAAGTGCATATTTTCCTCCATGCAGGCTTTGATTGAACAGTTTGTGGGATATTTTTACTGCATAACAGAGTTGGGTATTTGAATGGCACATTAATAAACGTAAAATAACAAAGGTAAAATCATGATAGCTGTGTGCAATCATTAGGTGGCTAATGCTACCAAAACAAACAGGTTAGCTTTAGATGCTAACACATCCAGAAGGAAGAACCCCGCATCTGGATCCAGTCTGAGTCCTCTGGCTGCTTTTAACCCTCTCCATGTCAAACAGTCAAACCCATGTTAACCCTGGTTGTTGCTCTTTCTTTGTCCCACTCTCTTTGTGGAAAAGATGCCACCTCTTGACTCTGGCAGCCGCTGGTTCAGACTTTTAGCTTCCCAGAGCTCATCCATGGCTGTTTGACTACTGGTTGGAAAAACCCTTCTTCTAACCTTGGCTAGGCGGCAGGCGGGGCTGATTTACAGGCCGTACTTTGACAGCACAGGGTGGAAGAGCTGGAATAACAACAGGAGGCTGTAGGCAGCAGAGGGTCAGGGGGGAGAGACCCCATGTCCTGTCCCACTGTCACTTTATCAGAGAATGTGTAAAATCTTAGTTAATGTACTTTTAAACAAAAATAATTCAAAATTGCCCCTGCACTTGGTTTTATTCAATATCCAGCCAAACAAATATGCAAGGCACTAAAACACTGAAACCCAGTCTTGTGTCTAGAAATGTTTTAGCCCACAGAAGTAACATCAAGAAGAAAAACCTAGCTGCTTAGATTCTTTGACAACAGACAAAAGTCTTACTGGTTAGTATTTTTGGGCCATGCATATCAGTGTTGTCAGAAAACATGCTGAAAACACCGGATCCTCTGTGTGAAATACAGCACTGACACAGCTGTGTGCAATCTGAGAATCATGTTTGATTGACCAACATCCGAATCTTGATTAGTCATTAATGTCCTTAGTTTGGTGTGACAGTGTTCCACGTAATCCCAAAATGATGAGGTTTAAGGGTATTGTTGTAAATGGATGTGTATATGTGACATGCCCAGGAAGCTGGCCATTAAAAATTTAGAGCTGATGCTAATACCAATGTACTGGCTTATGGTACATGGTATCTACAGTAAACTGCCATATGTCAGCCAGTAAGTAACAAGAAAGGTCTGTACAGAAATGCCAAATGTTTGGCAGCAGTGTTGTCATTGCATAATATAAGATGTTCACCTCAGAGCAGTGACAAATATCAAATATGCTTGTCTAATGCATTTATGTCAAAAAGGCTATTGGCTGGTATATCCAACTCTCACATCTCTATACTGATATCAGTCAGACTATAGTACTATGTGTGTGTCAGTGAGAGGACAATGGCATGTTGAAAGAAGTTAAACTCCCACAACCCTCAAATTCAACGTCCATTACAGGTAAAACGGTTAATTCTTCAATGTCACTGGGAGTGGGTAGTATAATCTTATCTGTAGACAGAGGCTGTAAACTTAGTCTAACAGGTATAATTCATTGACCACCTAATACTGTGAGAAAACCATCACCCCTGTTTTTTTCTGTCACTTTACATAATTAATCGTCTCTGATTCGTCACCAGATTTTGCTCGGAACACTGACTCTCCCTGTGAGACTCAAAATTTTGTTCATTACCTAATTCCCACATTCTGCTCTTGCCTTCTCCGCTTCCTGGAATGTGTCATTCGCAGATGAATGGGAGGGGTGTCGCTTTTCTTTACTGCTGACAGCTTGTATGTCAGCCCATTAGAATGATAATTGCACAGATGACCCTATACAAACCACAGCAAGCCCTGGCATTAGAGGAACGGTGACCCATAAAACATGACAGAGGTCAATGATTAAGCTGTCAAGCAGAGTTCCCCTTTTCTAACAGTGAGATGTGTCACCCATGAGGGGGTGATAGATGAGATGAAATAAGGCCATTGTGAAGGCTTTGGGAGTCTTTCTCACAGCAGTTTGGTGTCACTGAAAGCACGGCATCACTGACAGTCACTGTATCCTGGTATAGTAAAGCATTTTATAATATAGGAAATGTAGTTTCAGGTCATATGCTGCAGTAATATGGCTCTTTTTTCCCCAAAAGGCCAATCTAGGTCCTGCTTCTTGATATTTATTTATATAGAGCATGTATGGAATATTATACTATTCAAAAAGATGTGCTTGGAAACAGAGGCTTATTTTGTGTGCTTGTACGTTTAAGATTGCACCTGTAAACTTAATTTTGTAAGCTCGTACACTGAGGTTTCTGCCTGCAAACTCTGTTCTACAGGTTTGTCCATTCACTTTCAGGCTTAAAACATCTTCTCACAAGCTGAGGGGTGGGGACTTGTGCCAGCATGTGCATAAACATCAGTCTTTATGAAAATGCCATGTGAAGTGCACATTGTATAGTTTGTGTTTAAGAAAAATAGAAAATGACAAACTTTGGAAAACTAAATATCAATAAATACTAAATATTAGGGCAAAACACTCAAAGAAATTGATACTGTCACTTTTTATTAATGGAAGAATATTCTAAGCAGTTTACAGTTTAAACTGATGTTTAATGGTGTTTAATTTCATCAGTAAACGAGTATTTTTGAACAAAATATTAAAATTAATATGAAGTAAGTTTTTTTTTTGAAAATCTTCATGAAAAAACAAGGGCTTATTTCAGTAGAGCGCAATTATAGTTTAGTAAAAGACACTTTTGTTCTGATATTTTTATATCCTCTCTAGATTTTATTCAAAGAAACAGTGAAAGACTCACGCTTTAACTTTTCTGTAGGGCATTGGTGAGCTGTTTGAGAGGATCAAGCAGGAAAACAAAGCAAATGGACAACCAAATGGTGATGCCGGCCTGTTTTTCACCAACCTCTACGTCACACCTGTCCTCAGAAACATCAGCCTGTCCTTGGAGAAGGGCAAGATGCTGGCAGTTGCAGGATCCACTGGCTCAGGGAAGGTAGATTTAAAAAAAAAAAAATCAAGTCCACCTAAAAGAAATTTTGGTTGAAGCCTTATAGAGACTATACTGTGGATAAAAATGTAACAGAAAAAAGTTTGACCGCATTTCCTGTTTCCTCCAGAGCTCCCTGCTCATGATGATCCTGGGTGAGTTGGTGCCGTCAGAGGGTAAAATCATGCACAGCGGTCGCATCTCCTTCTCGCCACAGACTGCCTGGATCATGCCGGGAACAATTCGTGACAACATCCTGTTTGGCCTGACCTATGACGAGTACCGCTACACCTCCGTCATCAAGGCCTGCCAGCTGGAAGAGGTACGCTCATTTTACTGCATAATTCATTATTTTTTCTCCCTTCATCTTCTGTTCTGTAGATGAAATGGGTCTCTGTAGGTATTATTCAGTTATGGTGGCTGATACTGTTCATGCAACCTACACAGATCCTGGGCTGTTTATTCCAAACACCATTTAACTTATAGCAGAAAACAGTAACACCTTGTTTTATGGGTTCATACATTCCAATTTATCTCCAAATAATCTCCTTAGACATTTCCTGCAAAGAACAATATTATTTTGTACTAATTAAAGGCATAATATAGAGTAACCAGTTGGTACAATTTGACTTATTTCTAAAA